ATTTTCTGCCTTGTCTTCTCAGTTGTCACTGGTAACATTAAGAGGGAGAGAAAGCAAATGAAAGAAGGAAAACAGAAGAGGAAAAAACATTATGGAACAGGGTATGCAATAATGAATTAATTCAACAAAGCTTAATTATTTCATGCTAAGAACCAGCTTCACAACATTCTTGCAGCTTTCCTTCCACCACTTCTTGAAAAGCAATGGGGCAACTGCTTGCATCTTTCTCCACATATCTCTGTAAAGAAGAGAGTTAGAGACTAAAAAAAAAAAAGTGTAGGACATACTGCCCCCACATGCTCCTGGTAGGTATGAGCCTGGTTGTGGCTGCATCTCACCCAACTCATGTTCTGTCCCAGCAGCTGGGTTTGCAAAGGTTGCATGAAGCTGAACCAGGGACGGTGGAGTATATTAAAGAAAGGCTGTTAAATACTCTACTGCTACAACTCTGCTGGTCCTAGAGAAAAACCATTTATTTTCTGCCCTAATTTTAAGGCCATGCCTACTAATGGACTGGAGGACTATGTGACTCTGACTTCCTCTGCACAGGAGAGGGGAAGAGGAGAGAGTGGTAGATTGGTGGGAACAGGCTAGAGGGCAATTTCTGTCAGCGGCCACAACTCCTGAAGTGGTGTTCAAATTGGATGAGGGCCCATCTTCCAGGCTTTGCAGATTCTGTTTCTTGTGGTCTTATATCTCCCATTTTTTTCCAGTCCTTGAAGGCCAAGTTGTCTTTGCTGTTTGAAAAACTGTGCATACACTTACTTTGTAGTAAGTCCTCCTGCATACAGTGGGACTTATTTCTGAGTAAGTTTGCACAGGATCAGGTTACACCACGTGTTTAAAATAAAGCAGATTGTAAGAACCTTAGTATCTGCCACTTACATTTTATTTATTTAAATTAGTTGATGCAAGTTCGGTCTTGTAGACAGGGCACAGGTTCATTGGATCTATTAGGCAAGTCTCTCTCAGCATCTGTTCCCCCAGCCATAAACCAAAGACAGCAACCAACATCACAGGAACAAAGCTGGGATAAACACCATAAAATACTTTAAAGAGTACAATGTGATTCCAGTGCTGCAAATGTAGCATTTTATATACCACAATAAACTTCCAATGGTCATACACCTCTCCTTCAACCACACCAGGAATGGAATGGTAGAGGGCAGGACTGGGAGGAAGGGCTAGAGGATTGCAAAACTAATCTCTCTTCTTCTGAAATCAGTATGTGAGCAATATATGTTTTAACCAGGTAATCCCCATATGATTCTTTGTCCCCTTTCCTAGTAACTATTACCAGCCAAAGAGCTATTTAAATGCTGATTATGTAGAAAGCAGAGCATGCCCTGTACTAGTAGACACAGAATCTATCAATCCCTGGCCTAATCACATGACTCAAGTCATTGTAAATCAGCACTTTGGCCCTCTGACATTGGTCAGGTGCACGAGAAAGAGGAACACATTCACCTCTGCTAGGTATTGCTCCTGGTGCCAGCTGACAAGCCCAGTTCAGATACATTTATGAACATAGTTGTGAGCAGCTTTTGTTGATTAGATGAAAGAACTTTTCCTCAAACAACAGACAATTTCTGTGTAACTAGCCGGAGTTTAGGAGGTCATATTGAGCATGGGCGATATTACAGAGCTTGATTGCCAAATTCACCTCACTGATCCATGAAGCTCGACTGAAAAGTGTAGAAAGCATTAGAAACCAAGGGCCTTCTGTATCACTGCAGTATTATCAAGTGTGCAAAATTGAGTACAGCAACATGAGGGAAGAAGCAGAAGACACAACAGGTGTACCTGAGACTGATTAAAGTCAAGTTTTGGCCGTGGAGGCTGGGGAGACTGATATGGATATTAAGCCCACTATTAAACCGGGGGAGTACTGGGAAAGCATACTTTGTACTGATGGCAGATCTCATAAACAAGTATCCCTAGTCTGCATTTGGTGCAACAAGCACAAGCCAGGAAGGAAACCCAGTATGGAGCTGTGCTCAAAGTTCAGGATCTGGGTTCTACCCCCACATCTGCCATTAAGCTAACTGTTAGTGACCTTGGGTTGGTCACTGCTTCTCAACCTAACTAACAGGGGTGATGTGAGGATAAAAGTAGGAAGGGAGAACCATGGACACCACTCTGAGGTCCTTGGAGGAAGTGTGGGATAAATATGCACAGGATGGAAGTAAGAACGCCTTCTCTGCAATCTGAAGGTGAGTCATGAAGAGTGCACATCAATTTAAAGCTCTGTTCCATCTACAGACTGAATGAACGTCCCTGGGCAAGCTCACTGTCTCGGCTTCAGTTCTACCATCTATCAAATAGGAATCATAACTTCTGCCAGAGGACTGCTCCAAGGACAAGAAAATTGAAGACTACCACACAGTTTATGCTCCTGAACCATTGTTTTAACATGTCAGTATCATGACAAACGAAACAAGATTCAGCAATTGGCAAACTCAATTGCCAGGCCACCATTTTTAATCAAAATGCAGCACAAGTTAGCCTTAAGCAGAGATGTATCCACCACACACATGCATGTATAATTAAACCAGCCTCTGGTTCTTCAAGGGTGGCAACTCAAGTTATCAGCAACTGACGAACATATTTAATCTTTCCTTTTCCGAGTCATAGCTTTGGCTATTTACAAAAGCACAGGGTCCAACCTGCCACACCTGTGCAGCTATGCTGCCCTAAAAGGTCCACAAACACAGCTAACAGTTACTACACATTCTTCGCACCATTTCAACCTACGCCTGTTAGCCCTGTAAAGGATGTCCCAGCATTTTGAGGAAGCAGCTCCCCTTGGAACGAGGAGAACTCGCACTCAGAACTTTCCCCTGAACACTTACACATTTTTCACTAAACCCATTCAGATTCAAGAGAACATGGAACAGGTCTAACAGGGGATTTTTGCTATATATGTGAGCAAACAAAACAGAAACAATGTTCCCAGAACTGGACCAGAGGCAATAATTTTTTAAGCAGAAAATTTACTTAAAAGTTTTCCTAGGGGGAAAAAAAAAAGGAAAAGGGATTTTTAACGTAACTATTTAGAGTCGGACTCGACTGTGCGACTGAACAACAACAACAATTTAGAAAAACAAACTCCTGCACTTAATTTACATGACATCTTGAACGGCAAACTTTTTCTCCTTCAATTTCCCCACAAAAATGTGCCTCTTTTTAAAATCACCTGAGTGCCCTGGGCTTCCACACCCCAGCTGGACAGGGCTCCAGTACTTTCACAATGCAACCTTAAGCAGACATTATACTCTTCGAAGCCCACTGACTTCAACAGACTTAGGGACAGACTAGCCACGATGGAGTCCTCATGGTCGCCATTTTAAAGTGACTTAAAAATGCCATGGCTGCCTGATCCTGATCATGCCTGCAGAAAGTTGGGCTGAGGCACTCTTGTTTCCCCCCATGCCCTATCAAGAACCAAAACACTTGCGCCCTCTGTAGCTGTTTTGGCACTTGAAAAGACTTGCTGGGGGCTGGGGGAGACAAGAGAGCCATACTACGAGCAAGATCAGGATTTGGCTCTCGCAGCATTTAGAATCCCTTTAGAATGGTGGTGGCCTCCCCCTGGTGATCCATGGACACTATCGTGTTTAGGACTGCACAGTTACTGCCCATCACGATGCTTTTTTACTCACACGTACATTCCACTGAGCTCATTAGGACGTGCTCTCCTTCAACCCCAGGTACAGAAAAGCTCCTTTGCTCTTAAAAATCCCCATGTGCCATTCGGAGCAATACCAACACCTTATTACAGCAACTTCTCAAGTCCTCAGTCCCCTCTCACACAATGCTGAAAAACAGCTAAAGCTGTAAACACAGACTTCCTTTACAACTATATCTAGAGCAGGAAGTGGTCAAGGAAGACAAGACGAAAAGCTTAAAGAGGGCCAGAGGTCCTTAAAATTCACCACACATGGCACCCAGTAATTGATGCAGTGCTCTGTGGAGCTGATCATACCAAAATGAGGAACTACATAGAGATTTAGCTGATCTGTAGGTGTAGTTAGATATAAGTTATTCATCGGGTATATCCCATTTACTGAGCACAAATGCTGTTGATTAAAAGTTCAGTATCATTCTAGAAGGAACTCCCTTCTATCATGCTACTGAACTCTGTCATCCATCTGCAAACCAAGCTCATTATTAAACCGCTTCTTAGATACCAGTTCTGCAAGAGAAGCAAATTCTTTTCATCACCATGTGACCCATGAAAAGTAATTCAAAACTGCACTGTTCAGTGTGAACACACAGTCCAAGGTCTGAAGGGGACTACGGCAATGATTCCAATCAAAATGCTTGAACAAGAAGAGCCACAGCTATTAGTTACAAAATGGGAAAATAATAAGGCTGGGTCCTAATAAGCTTTCTAGGAAATAGGAGTTCTTAAATGGGACAACCTACTAAGCATGCTTTAGATTCCCCCTACATGACATGGAACATAGCAAAGTAAAGGACAACCTAGAAGAGAATTCAATTGGCACTCAAGCCTGAGGAAAGTCAGAGTACACAAACATGAAAACGTATAAAAACATTGGAAGCTTTAGATTCCCCCTACATGACATGGAACATAGCAAAGTAAAGGACAACCTAGAAGTGAATTCAATTGGCACTCAAGCCCGAGGAAAGTCAAGAGTACACAAACATGGAAACGTATAAAAACATTGGAAAGAACAGTTCCCACATTTACACTCAGCTTGTTTAGTCTTGCACATACCATGACATATGAAAAAGCTAAAGTTCTTGATAGAGGAGAGATGTGCAACTTGGTTAGAATTTTATAAACAGACAAATGGAAATGGCAGGTTAAAAATTCCAATGAAATCAATGCTATCCAGAGATTCCTACAGAGGGAAAGTACTTTAGCTGGGTGCTGTTAAGATTGAGATTCGCAAATCAGAGTTCCCACAGTTTCTACAATATTCTATAATGCCTTTTCTTAAATAGGTCGTGGGGGTGCAGTGAGAATCACTTACTGGTTTTGGCATTTTTGATTCTTGAAGAGTTTCTGTTGGTCCAAAAGCAAATATTCATGCAGCAGCCTCTTGGGTGTTCCTTCTTTTCTTTGAGAAGCCTGAACAGAGGGGGGGAAAAAATCACCAACTAACATCTGTGTAATACAGGCATGGTAGAGGAGTTTTAAGGATTAAGAAGAAGGTTAAGTAAGCAGGGATGATTCATTCATGACCAATCATTACTTAGTAACACCGCAGCTTTAGAGAAAACATAAAACCGGCAGCCTCGCCCAGGTTTATATAAAAAAAGCCCAAGTAGAGAAGGTCATTTGGTTTGCCAGGCTCACAGGAACAACTATAATTTCAATTTTTTTAAGAGAAAGGGGTGGGGAGTCCTTCTCTCATAGCTATACCCAAACCAAGTAACTTAATATCACTGACTCTGTCTTGGCTTGGAAGACCAAAAAATGCTAAGAATCACTGAGAACCCCCTGGACTAGCCGTGACTACTGCAGAGTCTTAACTACCCGGATAGAGACCCGTGGGACTTTGACGAGATTACTCTGGATGAGAGCCGAGCCGCAAGCAGGCAAATTCTACAAAGGACAGAAGAAGGCAGAGGGACAATCTCGCTGTTTCAAAGAAGGCAACTATTGTTTCGGTTCGCCTTGAAGCTTAAGAAGGGCAAAGAGAGTTCCCCCCGATAGGTCCGATACAATCTTTCATCCTCAGACAGGAACTATCGCAAGCTTCCTGTGCTCTTCGAATAAACGGCCGAGGGAAGACCCCCTTCTCCCGAAGCCACACAAGATGGCCACTCCGCCTTAATTAATCCGTAGTCGATTCCCACCGCCCAGCTCCCCATTTGCAACCTTTTATGTGGCTTCGGACTCCCTCCGCTCCTGGCCAAATAGACGAAAAGGGGAAGGGAACCCGCCCTTTCGCCGCTCGGACTGCTAGAGGGGAACGCCAGTCTACCCTTCGGTCAGCTTCAGCAGGTGTTTCCCAAAATAAATAAATAATAAAAAGGCGGCCACACCGAACCTAGGAGGGCTTCCTTGCAAGTAAATCTGCACACAGTTGAGCTACTAAACTGAAATCCTCCGCACACTTGGTCGAGAACAAACCGAACGGAGTGGGACTCACTTTTGTGTCAGGATCGGGCCTACTAAAGGGCGGGGGGGGGGAACTTCGCGTTAAGTGAGTCTGTGAAAGCCTAACGCTTGCGTACAAGCCACAGGACCAAGCAAAGCGCCTCACTCGCTGGCTGCTTGGGGGGAACAAAATCAACCTTACTCCTAGAGAAACCTGCTCGAGTCCCTTCCTTTCTTCCAAGAAAAGAGCTGGGCGGCACTCATCCCCTTCACCACACCTGTTGCCAAAGCCACGTCGGACCGCCCCAGCCCGGAGCAACTTCGCGCCACTGGGTCCCGCCCGAGCCTTCTGGATCCCCCCCAGCGGCTTTTCGAGGCGGGGGGTTGCGGCAGGGATTTGACGGCCCTTACCTAGACGGCTCGCGTTCCCCGGGTCCGGCTGAGCAAAGCGCCTGTAGCAGCTCCGCGCCTCTACCCCAGCCACACTCTCTCTGGTCCTGTGGGCGTCGCTCCGTGCCCTTCCCCGATGGCCGCAATATGGCTGACTGTGGAATGGGCAAGCGCCACAGGACTCTAGCCTTGTCCTCCACCCCGCCTCCCCCGCGCAAAGGAAGCCAGTAAGGCGCGGAGGCCGTGCCTTCCTCCCGGCGAGGGCTCAGCCTGGTTGCTTACCTGGGGAAGGAGGCGGACCCCAAAGGCCTGTAGAAGGTGAGAGTCCTAGCGAAGTTCTGTGATTGGAAAAGGAGAGGCAAAATCTCTCCGGGCAGAGTGTGGCTTGACGGCTTGGGGGAAAGAACAATCTTAGCCTTTCTCTCGAGTGGGGCAGGACTGGCCTCGCCTGGATTGGTTTCTCGGTCGGTTCCCTCCCTGTGTGATTTCCACACTGGAAAGTTACTTCGCAGGGCGTCTGAGGGTGCAACGAGCACGTTGCGTTAGCAGCCGGAGTCTCCGGGAGAACAAACCAACCAGGTTAATCTGAAGTTATAATCAGTACAGAGATACCTGGACAAAGATTAAACAAATTTGGATTGGGTTGACAAAGAAAAAAAATATGCAGGTAACTCAAAAGTTTGCGCAGTGTGACGTCATTTTGGGTTGGTCCTTATAAAGGTATTCTTTTTGCTATGCCTGTATTCTTTCCCATGCCACCCCCATTACTTGTGAGCAATGTTCCCTCTAAGTTGTGGAGTCCTGAGAGCAAAAATTCTACTTTGTGAGCTACCGGCATTAAAGTTGTGAGTGAGCAATTTGGCTACTGTATAACTTACGTTTGCTCTGGAGCCGTCCTTCCTGAGCTAAGACAAAAATCTGTGAGCTGGAGGCTAAAAAAACTGTGAGCTAGCTCATACTAACTCAGCTTAGAGGGAACACTGCTTGTGAGTGTGGCTAGTTGTGACTTTTTAAAAAAAAAATGGGCAAAAATACACGCTGTCCTGCCTTTCACAACACAGAAACAGGTGAAAATCTGCAAACGAAGATTTTCCCTAGTTTAAAACTACACTGACTGATTTCTGTGTGGAATACAATTGTTAAATTTTATTTCAGGCGCTTTCAGTGTCATCCTAAACAGAATTACACCATGCTACATCCATTAAAGTCAATGGGTGTAGCAGGATGTAACTCTGTTTAAGATTACATTCTCTGCTACTAAACCAGTTAACAATCTTAGCTACTACTGCCAGTGATTAAGTTAGTCAGGAACAAACAGTTACGCAGTTCCGGCTGGGGGGAAATGTTGTAAGTCATCTATGACAATTTCTACACAAGTTATCTGCCCTGGGTTCAGTGCTGTTGGGAAGTGGGTTCTCCCCCCCCCATGTCTCCACAGCACTGAGGTCGTTTGGTGGATCTCTCCGTGTTTTCCCTGGCTGTTCTCCAATCTTTCCCATGGCTGCTTTGCTGCAAAGTTTTGGGGAAGAATGCAGCAGAGCCTGAATAGCTGCTTTGTGGGTGAGAGAAATTTCAGATTTTCCCAGTCCTGCCCACATGGCAGCCATTTTTCCTGCTCCAGTGCCTTTGGCTGCCTACCACCACTGGTGGGCTTTTTAAATTGTTTAAATCAGCAACTTAGTATTGTTATAACATGACAGCAATGCGTCTATCAGGTCTCTGAATTCCCAGCTTTCATCCTTTTTTTTTTTTTTTAAAGTATGCCTTTCCCCTTATGCCTCCAGAAAGAAAGGGGCTAGACACTTAAAGTCTCTAGTCCCTTTCATAGGAGAAATATTAGGGGGAAAGCATGTCTCTGCAACCAAAGGAACTAGTGATTTATTTTAAACAATGGGAATTTAGAGATCCTGATTCACATATTGTTATGATGGCATAACAATACTCAGTTGCCAGTTTTACAAAGAAATTGAAGAAGCCTCAGTGGGGCGGGTGATGGCCACTGCTGGGAGACTGGGGGCAGGGAAAATGGGGGGAAGTCTGCCTCGTAAAAGTCCCAATGCTGCACTGCTGTATCAGCAACCAACCACAGCAGTGATGGGAAAACCCCACAAGCCTGTCCCTTATGTTATTGTTCCATTTATAGATCTGTGTCACTGCATACTCAAGTGGTCAGAAATCTGTAGCCAGCCTTAGCTTTCCGACTTGCACACCTGTATGCACATACCTGTATGCACATGGCACAAACATGTATTTGTTGTGCGCATACATTATAATGTTACGTGTTGCTGATGTCAAAAGCATGGCATGGAGTATCGTTAACATTTGGTTGGGACTGACATGTTACTGCCACCACACTGCTGGTGTTTTGAAACCTCCTAGTACATATGATGAATTGTTACATTAAACAGTTCGATAGTAATCAAATCTCCCAACCCCACTGAGAGAAACAGTGCATATAAAGGAAAGTAATGTAGAGCAGAATAAGTTTCTTCTTATTTGCATTACCATCCAACTGCATGTTTTTCTGTAATATTTGAAGGGTATTTGCATGTATGAAATTACTAAACACCACCGACACTGGCCTCAGCCAATTGCACACTTGCCATGTATTTTTTGGATGTGCAAATGTTCCTTAAGCATTACTAAGAACCACCTGCATTTGCTGGGATGTGTGGTGGCTCGAGGTGCCTTTGCCTTTTATTTTCTGGGATTGGATACATGCATGCAGTATAATCTGCCAAAGAAATACTCATCCTCAACTGAAGCTGCCCTGTTAAATTCATCTGCAGAGCAGAAAGAATCCATAGGGTTGGATCCAGACTAAATTTTCCAGTGACACAGTGGAACTTTCCTGGCTCCCCTCTCCCACTGCAGCCCACTGATCCCCACAAAATGCTGCTCCTGGGGGAGAGGGGACCCTGAGGAATGTCATAGGGGGGCCTGCAGTGGGAAGAGGGAATGGGTGGAAATTGTCACTGTAGACTGGATCCAACTCATAATGAGCACAAATAGTGCTCCCCCACAGCCCATTTTGTGCTATTGGCGCAATATGTTCCCATGTTTGTCTTTGGGCACCTTTCTCTAAAAGTATTGGTTTAGTGGTAAATTGCTTGAACTGAAAGGAGAAAAGGCCTTATAGATATTCTCTGAGATGTGTATACTTGTACTACTAAGTATTATATTTATGTCCCATATTACCTCTGGGTACATACATGGGATTTTCCTATTTTAGGCTCTCAATGATCTTGAGAGGCATGCTAAAGATAGCAGCTGCCCCAACACCACCTAGTGACTTTCCCTGATGAACAGGGAATTCCAGTTCAGTTCAATTTATTGTAATTAGCCATTGGCCGTTACAAGGTTACGGCAGGGAATTCATATTTTATCAGTGTAGTCCAAGCCTGCTCAGCCTGTGAATGCAACCTGTGATATCCTCCTTTTTGTTACCTGCCCACGTTATTTAGCATGTGGCTGGTGGACGTGTTTAGCTTGGTGGGATGGAAATTGGTTGCTCCAACTCCAAAGTATTTTTGTACCATGTTGCTGTCATGCACTCGAAGCAGTTAAAGACATGACCAAAAAAGAGCAAGAGTCAGAATCTCTGAACCTGCCTGTGCAAAAATGAATTCCTTCTACCACTGGGTGAGCTTGCCTCACTGTTCCGGTATGGGATTGGATACATGCGTGCAGTATAATCTGCCAAAGAGATACTCATCCTCACCTGAAAGGAAGCAAGGGACGTGGTGCCCTTGCAATGCACACATGTGTACTAGAAGCTGGTTTTTCCACAAAGCAGCCTAAAATGGCTGCTCTGTAGGGGATTCTGATCGATTCGGTGGGACTCTGTGATTCACCAACAGATTGATGACTACGGCACTACATCACATTTACTCTCATATTAATTAGAACGTCACAGTAGTGGACTGAGTTCCAGTCTCCGCATTAAGATTCTGTCACATATTTAATTATTATAGATACATATTTAATTATTATAGAGACATATTTAATAGACATGCCAGCCCAGATATAGAAATAGTCAGAAACTATTTTATTCCATGCCATCTTTATCTCGCCATTGAGGCCATTTGAAAATATTGCTACATTGTGAAGTCACATGAATAAAAAAAAATGAATGAAGTGCACATGAAACAAAACTACAAAGGCTTTGGAGGAGAGAAATATTACTTTTGTTTGTTTGATACTTCATTGCCAGTTATTCATTAATGTAATCCTCCTTGATACTTCGTTGCCGGTTATTCATTAATGTAATCCTCCTTTTCCTTCTCTCTGCCTAGTGTCTGGGACCAGGGTCAGGCTGCTCCTAGGAAGGAATGGATGAATAAAAAGAATTGAGTAGTCTTGTTATCACTGTATTCTGCCCTCCCTGGTACTTTCACGTGAACCAGACTTCCTTAATCAGAGTAGAAAATCTGCAACCAACTTGATGAAAACTAGCATTTATGATACCCTGTCATCTGGCTGGCAAGCCAGGTAGTAGCACATGTTTATACAGCTGCTTATGGTTACACCTAGTTTACCAGACTATGGATTAGGGATGCTTAAACACAGCTGATTTGGATCATGCCCTGATCAGGCAGCCAGTTTTTCTGTGATGCGTTTGACACCTCATTCACAGCTGTTCAAAGGGTTGCTGCACTCCATCCCAGAACTGGACAGTATAGCATGATTGAAGTTCAAGCATGTGTGCTGTCACACAGCATGACGGAGCTCTCTTCCTACCCAAGTCATTGCTGCAGACTGCTTTGCTTCACAGGCAAAAACAGAGGATTAAACCAACATATAAACTGCTGGCAAAATTCAGCAGTGAAAAACACCCCAAAAAGAGAAAAGAACATTGAAAAAGGAAGCACATCTTGCCCAACTGTTGTGGGCAAGAACCCTGCTGTGCAGTCCCTGTAATGGACAAACTGTTCCACAAAATTGTAAGGTATGTACACAACAAATGTATGTTTGCAATATGTGTATTATACAGGGTTCTAATCACTTGAATATGTGATAGCATTTCTCCTTATATATAATTGTGAAGTGGGGTAGCACTTTCTGAACATTGCACACGCTCCTAAATCAGTTGGCTCCATGATGTGTCACTTAGAAGCTGTCCCTATCCACTGGCTGTGTTGCCTGAGTCCCGCCTCCAACATTCCAAACAGTTTGCTGTTCCTCTCCCCCCCCATAGCCAGTTGGAACACAGAGGTCATTTGCATATGTGGCCTGATTGGCTTTGCCTCTAACATTCTAAACAGTTTGCTGTTGCTGTTGGGAGTCATTAAATGTGTCCTGGGGTAAAATACATATCCCAATCTTCCCTTAAACAGTCACTGGAGTTGCCAATTTTACTGTGGGGCCTGGAGATCTCCCAGAAATCACTGTGTTCTCCAGCCGCAGCACTTCATTTCCCCTACAGAAAATTTCCCGGCTATTACAACTGACATCCAGATGACCAAGATCAGTTCTCATGGAGACAATGGCTACTTTGGGCAGTGGACTCTATGGGATTATACCCTGTTGAGGTCCCTCCCCACCCCTTCCCTCCCCAGGTTCTACCCCTCAAATCTACAGGTATTTCTCAACCCAGAGTTGGCAACCCTGTAACTGGCTATGGAACTGCTTTCCAGACCCTTGGAACCCGAAAGACATAGCATAAGAGGAGGTGGTTTTCTACCTTAGCTGCCAATGCATAACCCCAAATCAACGTAAGTCAGAGATGGAGGGAACCATACCTGTTACCATGAGGCTGTCCTCCCATACTACCCATGGGGCAGCAAAATGACTTGAAACAGCCCTGCCTTATAGCTACCCAGAAGGAAATAAACATGGCTTGCCTCTATTTTCCCCTTCCCTCTGCTGTCCCACCAGCCACAGCAAGGACACTCACCTGGAGCTTCCTACTAGAGCTCGTTGTATTTCTTCCCACAACGAGCCTTACTCCTAGTAGATTTATAAATGGAGCAGTGACACAGAGGACAATTGTGTCAAGCAAGGGCTGCTCTGATTGGCTACTTTTATGTGTTCAAGCAACTAAACACTAGCAAGCACAATTAGTATGCAGCCACAGACTTGATCACAAGTTGTTTGAGCAGTTTGTCACCAAACCAAAAGAGCCTAGGAATCAACTTACCTTGATTGCAGCCATCAAACTGAGTAACATTAGCTGTTGAATGCATTCACTGTGAATTTTGCAGCATTCCTACTATGGAGCTCCATGAGGAAACATGAGATGCCTGCAGGATGCCCATGACCCTCAAAGTGATTCGCTGATATTGGAGAAGAACTGCCGCTGAGGTTTTCGCTCTGGCTTAATCTATACATGCGGCAGAATGTGATGATCAAGAGCTGAGGCAGCAGAATGGATTGTACTGCTTCAGAGTAAATGAGGAACAAAGCAAAGGGCTGGGATGGAATAATTTCTACTGCTATTCCACTTTTTTATTTTTATGGAGTTTTCACATGGAGGAACATTTGAAATTGGAGCTACTCTCACAGTTCCCTCTAAGCTGCACTAGGGGGTGTTGGTGCACAACATTTCATAAGCTAGCTCAGAGGATTTGTGCTTCAGCTCACAACCAAGCTTCCATAGGAAACCATGGAGGATAGGGGCACCTCCTTCTGGGGCCCATAGAATTGGATCCCCTGGTCCAATATTTTTGAGACTGGGGGGGGGGTGTTTAAGGAGAAGTACCAGCAGGTATGCTGCAAATTTGGTGCCTCTACCTCAAAAAACAGCCCCCGACTCCCAGATACCCTTGGATCGATTCTCCACTACAGCCTTTGGGGCCCATTGACTATAATGGTCCCCATAGGCTATAATGGAGCCAGAATCACCAGTTTTTTTGCACACCCCTATTATGCTTTTCAGTATGATTTGTAAGCTGCCTTGAGTCACAGGGAAAAGTGGGATATAAAGATCTGAATAAATAAGTAATTTGGGCAGGTAGATAACATTTAAGCAACTTTCTGTTTGTTAGGTTAGGCTGCATTCTGACAGTGATTGTTCCACCTCTGTTATACTTGTCCTTTAATGCTGATTGTCATATTTCACTAAAAAAAACCCCACCAAAGTAGACTGCAAGAATCTCCCCCCGCCCCCACAAGTGCTGGTATGTTTTCTAAGGGTCAGTGCAGGGCACCAGTCCAAGGCTAGGTCTATCAATACAGTGGACTGGGGTGGATAGACCTGTTCTCCAGAGGCCAGGTCTACCAATATAGTGGTCTGGAGTGTGTAGACTTGTTCTCCAGAGGCCTGGGGTGGGTAGACCTGTTCTCCAGAGGCCAGGTCTACCAATATAGTGGACTGGGGTGGGGAGACATATTCTCTGGAGGCCAGGTCTACCAATATAGTGGAAAGAGGTGAACAGACCTGTTCTCTGTAGGCCAGGTTACCAATATAGTGGAAAGGGGCAGGTAGACCTGTTCTCTGGAGGCCTAGTTTACTCCTGTAGAGGACAACATTTTGTGTAATGAAATTTGACTTGATTCTGTTTTCTCATAATGTTTAAATTATTCTTAAAATATAGTTTAAGTATAGTTTTAAAGAAGTTGTTCTGAGATTTTTGCAAGGTTACGGAAATAATCTTCTAAAAATAATTTATGCAATAGTCAAATGTAGACTTGCTCACAACTTTAGTGCTACTAGCTTTTTTCGCTCCAAGGTAGAATTTCTGTGGAGCTTAGAGGGAACATTGCCACAGTGCTGTTCTGTTGCTTCACTTTCTGCTACCTCATTCTCCTTTGTATTGGGTAGCCTAATGCCTCTGAGGTCTCAAAAGTAGGGCTGTCAGATCCCCCAGGGGGGGTTTGTCCGTTTTCGGGGGCCCAGATCCGCCAGCCCAGATTCAGCCTGTGGCGGGAACCCCGCCCCCAAAGCGCCTGCCATGCAGAAATGTACCCAGCACAATGACATCATCTGGAGGTGATGTCATTGCGCAGGGCAGGTTGTGGGGGGCGGTGGATGATTTTTCCTTAAATGGTAGAGCATCCCTGCAATGTGCTGTGTGCGATGATGTCGCTTCTGGTTGACGTCATCGCAACGCATGTGTGAAGGGCATGCACCAAAGAGATCACAGAGGGACAAAGACCCCCCCCCCGGCATGCTGGTAAGACCTGGCAACCCTACTCAAACAGGAACTCTGAAAGCAGCAGCTGGAGAAAGATGTGGATAGGGGAGCTTTGTCTCTAGTCTGTCATAGGGTTAAAGGCCACTTTGACGTTTGGCACAGATTCAGATGAGCTGAGTGGGTCAAAAGCTGCCTTGCTTCTTCTGACTTTGGAAACAGGGCCTCTTAACTCTCACCAGGGGCCCTTGCTTGGGCCTTCTTAGAGTTGCTGTTTGTGACTGGCTCACTTTCAGGTGCGTGAAAAGACAAAGGGCCCCCAGTTACTTGTCTGCTGCCCAGTCAAAGGAGTCTCGTCTGTGAGAGGCTGTCTGATGGGTGTTGCATGTTCAGGATGAGAAGGCTTTCCTTGGAAATGTTAGAAAGTCCCTGTATTAAAGCAATTAAATTACATAAATGATAATGACTGGCAGGCCTGTAGCTACCATGGGGCCCGCCCCCGGTGGTTTTTACAGGCCCCTCTCCAAGATACCCCCGGCGGTCTGCCTGCCCCCCCACCTCTGCCCAGTCGTGAGGCTGACCATCCCATTTCGTGCCATCACGGGCTGCTGCTGGAGGCTGGCCTGAGGCGGTAGGCATGCAGCACTCCTCTTGGGTGCCCCTAGCTCTGCAGCTGCAGCACGGAGGTCTGCGGGGGGAGGGAGCTTCTGCGCAGCCTCGAGAAGAGAGCTCGGCCCCTCCCCGCCTCTCCAAAAGGGGACCCTTGTGCGCACGGCCAGGCAAAACCCAGGCGAAGCTTGTCTCCAGACTCCCGGGATGCAGACGTCCAGTGGGAGTCGCCGGCAGTTACGCACCATCTCAGACGCCCTTGGGGGGGGGACCCGATTGGGCCGCAGACATGCACTGGGAGTCACTGGCAGTTATGCACAGTCTCAGGCACCCGGGGGGGGGGACCCGATTGGGACGCAGACGTGCGCTGGGAGTCGCCGGTGGTTACGCACAGTCTCAGGCGCCCGCCTCCCCGATTTGGACCAAGAGCATGGGGCACCAGGAGAGAGGAGGGTTTCAGCTTGTCCAGCTGGAGCCGTTTGAAGGCTTGGGGATGCCCCAGAGTCGTGACGCAGAGACCAGCATGGGCAAAGCCACCTCTGGACATATCTTGCCTGGGAAACACCACCAGGGGGTTGCCCTAAGGCAGCTGTGACTGGACGGCACTTTCCGCCACCAAAGGACCCCGCCTGCCTGTCTTTCTCACCTGGAGGCCCTCGGTTGCAGCCAGGGCTGCCTTAGGAATTCTACCAATTAAATCAAAGTTAATTTAATTAACTTTGATTTAATTTGCTGGTGGCCCCCCCCATGCCCCCTCCCCCAAAACTCCTTAGCTACGGGGCTGATGACTGGAAGGGTGTGAGGGGATATAAGCAACAAGATACAGAACGAAAGGAGAAAAGGCCTCTCTTTTATCTATTTGCTTTCAAAGCTTATGATGTATTTAAATACAGTCCCCGTGAAAAGCAGCTTTTTAAAGTGGTGCCAAGTTGGCAATCAGTTCAACTACCTCCACAAAGAAAAGAGAAACGTTTAGCTGAGGCCTTCAATAATTATGAATTATTCATATTGTACTTTTTAAAATGTCTATGATGCTTGATGGTCTTTGGCCCTGATCCAGTGCACTCCTATCCAAGCATTCAAGAGATCATGTATAAAGGAGGTGTGGGGATTTGCTTTTCTAAACAGCTGTTATCCCAACACAAACCTCAAGCTGTTTTCTTTCTTTAAAAAACCAGTTTCTTAATTTGTGTCACTCATTAGTATGGGGCTATTCAGGGAGAGCAAGCAAAAGTCCCCAGTGCTGTGCACAGGTCTCCCCATTGCACCCTTCTGGATGGGAGGCAATATGTGATTTGTTCTCAGAGCTGACTCATCTGATAGGTCACTTATTGCTATCCATTTTACAAACTGAGCACTGACTGGTCCTAATTCCAAATGATGTATGTCTCCTTCACCCCAGGTCTTTCTGGCAACATTCAGTAAAATTAAGGTGGAACATGACTCACTGCATGCTATCTAGTCTTCCATGGATAGTTCCTGGGTGAACGGGCATAATACTGCAATTACCAGAGTGGAATTTTTAGAAGACTCTTCATTCAATCCTATGCTTTTACTTAGCCCCACTGAATACACTGAAAACCCCACTTACTCCTAAGTTAGCATGCATAGGATTGCTGACTCAGAATAAATGCATTCATTACTGTGCTCACCAATCAGACCAAATGTAGTCCCCAGATAAACAGACCTTGATGAAGAGTTCACCTCACCAACTTCGTTCTACTCATGAACCCCAAACAGAAATTTTAACTGCTGTCATCACCAGAAGCTTATATAGATATGCCAATTTGGCCCTTCTAGAAACTAAGTGATAACCATTGTATCTTCAACTTAAAAACATTTAACAGACTTATTCCTTATTGCGGATGAGCCATGGTTCAGTGGTAGAGCATCCACTTGGCATGCAGAAGGCCCCAGGTTCAATCCCTGTCATCTCCTGTTTTAAAAATGAGGTAAAACAATAATGTGAAAGACCTCCACTGGAGACTGGAGAGCCGCTGCCAGTCTGAGTAGACAATCCTGACCTTGATGGAGCAACAGTCTGATTCAGTATAAGGCTGCTTCATGTGTTCAAGTGCTTAATGTGTCTTGCCTCCTACTCTAATTTACCCCAAGCACAGGGGCAAGACTAGGAACCCAGCTCATTTTAGTAACTCAGATCATGACAGGAGTTCCTTCACTTCTTTCTTTATACCTTGCTAAGTCCATGTTCCAACAGCAAACCACCTCTGTTCATCTCTTGCCTACAGAGTTCCCATAAGTTGGCTGCAACTTGATGTCACTTTCTACCACCACCAAATGTATGCCCAGTTTAGGCTTTTATGTGGAGCGCCTTAAACACGAATTCTGTAAAAACAAAATGTTAACATGACTTGTAATGAAAGACGATGATTACAAAGAGGGCAACGCTAATGTTAAGCAAGAAAATGTCTGACAGCTACTGAGCAAACGGGGAAAGAGCAATCAATTGCAATACAATGTACACAAAGCCAGTTTGGTGTAGTGGTGAAGTGCGCGGACTCTAATCTGGGAGAACCGGGTTTGATTCCCCACTCCTCCACTTGCACCTGGCTGGATGA